CCCTCCCTCCATCTCTCTCTTTCTCTCTTTCTCTTTCTTTTCTTTCTTTCTTTCACTGGAGGTTGTTCTGTTGTCTTTTTTTTCAGAGGAAGAGTGTGTGTCTGTGAAGGATCTGATTCAAAGCAGATTTTGGTCCCTAATTACCATCTCTCTTTTCTACATCTATAATTGTGTGTCAAATAGCTCGGTCCTCATGCTAAATAGAATTTGTAATTTGAAAAGCCCGGGGCTTAAACTGAATGAAAACTTATTTAAGATATCAGTTTTTCTGCATCTCAAATTGGAAACCAAAGCATGCTGCCACTTGGAATGTGTCTATTGGCCTCTGAAGCTGAACACTTCAAGCAGCCTTCCCTGATCTGTCCATGAAAACCGAGGCAGTTCATGCTTCCCCAGACTCTTAAGGTCCCAAGATTGGTTGTGTACGAAAGTTTTGTAAACAGAAGGCCAATATTACACTCTCTGTCTCCTTCCAAGGCCAGTTACTGCAGTCTGAACACACACAAGGTAGTTCAGTAAGTACTTTTTGAATTGATTGGAATAATGACCCAGAGACCAAAACTGTTGCAAAGGTGAAGGAAAGAATATTCAGGAACTGTCTCATGCTCCCACCTATCTTGCCCAGCTATAAATACAAGGGGGCCTTGTACTCCTTCTTCAGAAAGCAGAAAGAGCCTCTGGAGTCTTGCTTTCTCAGAGAGAGGGTCTGAGAGCTTGTGCTATAATGTAAACAAAAATAAATAGGTACAAAGGGAAAGAATGAAAAACACAACTGTGTGAGTGTGTGTGTTAGAGCAAATAAAAGATACACAGTTTAAGCCGGCAGGGTGGCTCACGCCTATAATCCCAGCACTTTGAGGAGCGGAGGTGAGAGGATTGCCTGAGCTCAGGAGTTTGGGACCAGCCTGAGCAACATGGCGAGACTTCATCTCTACAATAAAATCAAATTATTAGCCGGGCGTGGTGGCGCGCAGCTGTGGTTCTGGCTACTTGGAATTTCTGGCTGAAGCTGAAGGATAGCCTGAGCCTAGCAGGTCGAGGCTGCAGTGGCCGTGAGTTTGTCACTGCACTCCAGCCTGGGTGACAGAGTGAGAGACTCCCTCAAAAAAAAAAAAAAAAAAAAAGATAAATGGTTTGGCAAGACTAGCTATGCTATGTGCTCAACTTGTCTCCCAATGTTGGGATGCAGTGTACAGGGACCCTGCTGAACAAGCTGTTCTAGCAAGATGTCCTGGAATCCAGCCCCATCACAGTCAGTCTTTATTGTGAGCAGTATTGCAACTGCTGCTCCCACACCCTTACTTACCCATGGCTGGGAAAGCCTCGCTAGAGCACTAGCTTAGCTGTTTCCAGGTCTGTTTTCCTGGGCCCTGGGCTCCTGGTGCTTTTTAGTTCTGAGGATGCTTAATTAATTGAAGGAGAATCCCACCTCCATAGTAGTTACAACAGTTCTACTCAATAGTTACCTCAAGATCTGCCAGTTTCTTCTCTTCTCCCTCCCCCAATTCTTTCCATTTTGCCTTCTGCTAGTTCCTTGGGCAGAGAGCACATAAGCATACAATTCTGACAACCTCCATGGCCTGTGGTCTACAAGTGTGAGTGTGCTGCCAGCAACAATGGGACAAAATGTGTGAATCTTGGACTGAAGTCAGAAAATCAGGGATGTTTGGTCACTGCAGAGTAGGCATGAGAAAGAATGTGAGGCATAAATCTGTCAGGTTGGGCACTTTGTCTCCTGCAAAGATTTGGGCTCAAATGAGAAGAAAACAAATGGTTAAATGAAACATTTTGGATTCCCTAGAGATTTCCATCCTCAGAGCTGTCTTGTTTTTCTGTGAGCGTGGATAATTTAAAGCCGATGTGAGGGCTTTTGGATTTGAGAAGTGTTTCCTCTGAAAAGTTCAGAGTATTTCAAGTACGTTACTGCCTGTCTCCTCACAACTTTTTGTCAGAAGTATTCATATAAGGTACCTATGGATGCTCCCATTAAACAGATCAAGATATTAGGACCCAAGGAATTACATAATTTGGCCAGGGACACACACGTAATTTGTGCCACAGTTGGCTGAGACCTCTGGATTCTTGAGTCCCACCCTATGAAAATGTGATGTTCTACGTGAAAAGAGATATTTTACAGCTTTGATGTCTTTACAATCAACTGCGGATTCTATTTTTCAGTCCACTAGAAACTGGCAACATCGTGCTTGAAATGGTATTGCAATTTATCACCATGCATTGTCGTCAGTCTCTTTTACAAGACAAAAGGGAGCACGTTGAAATTACAACATGGGATATACTTTGAGTTTGGATGTGGAAGGGAAGGGAAGGAAGGGAGCATGAGCCAATGAACCCAATAACACCAGAGGAGATCATAAAAATCCCTTTTAAAGATGTAGAGATGAAAAAAATCACCACTGCCATGATTAGAACAAACTGGACAGTAGGGGGCAGTATGGTATGGGGAAAAGTCCTAAATTGGCTAGAATTCAAAAAAGCTGAATTTTAATCTCAGCTCTGCTAATAAATAGTTGTGTGACTCTGAACAAGCTTATTCACCTGTTCAGGTCGTGATTTTCTCAACTGCACAAGAGGGATAAGCACAGCACAACTTGCTTATCTCATAAGGATGATGCAAGGTAACTAGACTTTGTAAAAAATGAAAACCTTATTCCTAAACCTACTTGCAAAGTACTTTATATCTGTGCTGTCCAACAGAAATATTTGATCTGCTATGTTATTTTCAATTTTCTAGTAGCCACATTAAAAAATAAAATTAATAACAATGTTGAATTTTTTTTTTGAGTTGGAGTCTCACTCTGTTGCCCAGGCTGGAGTGCAGTGGTATGCTCACGGCCACCGCAGCCTTGACCTGCTGGGCTCAGGTGATCCTTCTGCCTCAGTCTTCCAAATAGCTGGAACTACAGGCATGTGCCATCACACCCGGCTAATTTTTTGATTTATTGTAGAGACGAGGTCTCAGCAAGTTGCCCAGGCTGGTCTCGAACCCCTAGTCTCAGGCAATCCTCTCACCCCAGCCTCCCAAAGTGCTGGGATTATAGGTTTGAGCCACCGCGCCTGGCCGAGAAGATGAATTTTAATGGTATATTTTATTTAACCAGATCAATCATAAACATTGTCATTTTAACATTGAAGTAAATTGTTATTGAGATATTTTAGATTATATTTTCATACAAAGTTTTTGAGATGTGGTATGTATTTCACACTTGTAGTGCATATCATTTTGGACCAGTTACATTTCAAAAGCTCAGTAGCCACATGTGGCTAGTGGTTATCTTATTGGACAGCACAGATTTATACTTTGCAAAGAAGCTTCACATAGATTGTTAATTGGGCCTTGAAACACTAGATGTGTGCATGTTCTCCTTTATATATGGAAGTTAAAAAAAAGTTGATCTCATGGAGGCAGTGAGTAGAATGGAGGTTACAAAAGCCTGGGAAGAAGGGTAGGGCGAGAGAGTGAAGAGAGCTTGGTTAATGGATACAAACATACAATTTTATAGAAAAATAAGTTATAATCTTCTAATGCAGAGTGGGGTGACCACAATTAACAATGTATTCTATATTTCAAAATGGCTGAAAGAGAGGACTTGAAATGTTCCCAACACATGGAAATAATAAATACTTGAAGTGATGTATGTCCTAAACACCATGACTTGATCATTACCAATTCCATGCATGTAACAAAATATCATGTAACAAAATATCACACCCCAGAAATATATAAAATATGATGCATCAATAAAATAAGTAGATTTAACCATGTCATATTACAGATATACAGAGAGATCTAAGTCTGGTTGTTCTGTTTCCAACACCAGGATTCTCTTACTTTCTGATTCATTACATACAGAGCTGATTAAAAAATCAAGGCTGTTGAACAGATGATTCTCTATGCACTTTTATTTTTATGGAGTAATAGGAGTCATCATGGAAGCCACCTGTGCCACTAGCTTCACTGACTCTGTTTTCTGGCCACCCGGAGAGACCCAAACTGTTTCAAAGTATTATAGAGAAGGATTAGACATCTATCCTCATTGTGTCAGCAAGGAGGGGCAGGCCTAGTCATCTTGGATTCATCCATTTCCCTCCTGATGCCTATTCCCAATCCATGCAAATATTATCGGCTCCTTCTTCAAAACACACCTTGTGATTTGAGGGACACATAGACCAAAGGTAACATATCCGTCTTGTTTGAATTCTCATTCAAACAAGGCAGCTGTAAATATATGCATATATAAGGGATAATGATAAATTTGAATTTTGCCTTGTTAATGAATATTAAATAATTACTGATAATTAATTACGGATGATGATGATAATGTCATTATGTTTTTAAAAGTCCATATCTTTTAGAAATACAGGAGTATTTACGATGAAATGATATATCTATTATTGGCTTCAGATTGGCCATGAAATGCTGACTGTTGAAGCTGGGTGATGATTATGTGGGAGGATCATGATGTTATTCTCTCTCTGTTTTGTATATGTTTGAAATGTTCCATAATAAAATAAAGTCAAGCATTTTTACACGTTGAATCCATTCATTTCTTTCCATTCCCATCGCTATAACTATAGTCCAAGGCACCACCACCATCTCTTGCTTGGACTGCTGCAACAGCGTCTATGTTTGCTGCTTCCCCCTCTCTATTTTCTCCCATTCTCACCACAGTCAGAGCAATCTTGAAAATACAAGTCAGGAAAAAAAGAAACAAGAAAATACAAGTGAGAGCCTTCAGATGGTTTCCTTATGTTTCAAATAAAAGCTACATTTGATCTATGAAGGTATCCATGATCTCATTCCTGCATCTCTGTCTGTTTCCTGGCCTTGCTTACTCTGTTCCACCTACTCACCTTCTTACTGTTTCTCAAAAGTGCTGAATTTTTCTTAATCTCAAGGTCTTTGCATTTAGGTTTCCTTCGGCCTGAAACTCTCTTTTTGATCTTCACATGATTTGCTCCCTCATAATATGCAGGTTTCAGATCACATATCACTTTCTCAGACAGGCCCTTCTTGACCACTCAGCACCATTTCCCATCCACATTCCATTACACTACCATTCTTTCACCTTGTATATATCACCACAATATGAACTTATTATTGATTCATCTGCTCACTTGTTTACTGTCTGTCTCCTCCTTCACTCCCTTATTAGAGTATAATCTCAAGGATGATGACTTTTACTTAGTTACTACTGTGGCCTTCAGGTACAGCAGAATGCCTGGCACATAAGGGATATCAAAAGGTATTTGTTGAGTGAAAGAATCGAAGCTAGAAAGGCAGATATGAAACTACAGATAGGATTACTAAGATTAATTACCATTTACTGAACAATTGGTAAGTGTCAAACATGTAGCAAGTTCTTTTCATGCATATTATCTTATTTAATTCTCATAACCACCCCATCATTATCCTTTTTTTTTAGGTTAGAAAACTGAGGTTCAGAAAGGTTAAGAAACTTGTCTAAGATCATGTAGCTAGAAACTGGTAAAACTAGAAGTCAAGCCTAGGTTTGTTTTAACTCTAAAGGTTGAGCTAATAACCTTTATGATATAGTTTCATGGAGAACCATGCTAATGTTCCCATGGATTCAAAAAACAGGAATATTTATTTAAATCCCTTCCCATAATGAAGCTGGTGGCATTCTCTACAATAACCATAGGAGGAGGTCTTTCTGTTAGTCTTCAATTGCTAGAGCTTTTGTTCAATAAGACATCTGCATATACGTTGATCAAATAGGGAGACTTACCGGAAAACCTGGAGGGCCACTTATGCCTGGCAAACCCTTAGGCCCTGGTTCACCCTGGAAAATCAAGCACAGGTAGTGAGTAGCCCCAGAAAGCAATGAACAGAAAGGAGGATGGCTACCTGAAAGTACTTGGACTGAAGAGTGGGAAATCAAGGAGGTTTCAAGAGTGGGGCAGCAGAGAATGGTACCCATGACTTTCTAAAACAGAATCACAAATGCTCAGGCTAATTGAGAAACAGAAAATATCATTATCTGTTTTTTTTTTTCTAGTGGAAGAAGCGGTTCTTATGGAATTTCCTGTAACAAATTATAGGCAGCAAAGAAATCAATGGTTTTGGGAACAGGGTAACAATTACAATTTGGGAAGGAATATATAACTTTCTAATTGGTCTTTCTCTGATATGCTAATTAACTGTACCATTAAAAAGCTCCCTAAGGTTTGGGAATGATCAGGGAAGCAGGTAATCTCTCATATATTCCCAGACTGTTCCCAAATTAATGATTACTTTTTAGAAATCTGGAGCTGTGCTTCCACAAATTTAAAGAAAGGAGACTAAACACATTCCCCAGCCTAGATCCCTTGCTCATGGAAACAAAATCTCAAAACTTAAAGGAACCCCAGGAAGGAAGAGAATACAAGTTACTGAAAGATGTTTGCACATATTAACACATATAGCCATTTGAATACAACCGTATACATAGTATATACTCACACATAAAAATACAGATCATAAAATATTATAGTTAAACAGACCTACTGCTTAAGTCTTGGGAATTCAGATCAGGTGAATTAGGGCATCTACTGCTGCTTAGTGACAGTATATCCTATTTGCAGGGTCAAGTTTTGAGAGTTAATAACTTTAAAAAGGTAATTCAAAAGCAACCACTTATATCCTATGTGCTCCGTCATAGCTCTTAGGAGACAACATAAGTATTGAGACAGCTGCGAGTTAGGAGGAAAAAAAACTACTCTTCAGTGTTTTTTTAAAGTTATTCAGCATATCTAAAATTGAATCTGCAACAGTGAAACAGAGAAAACAGCACTTAAAGGAATACTTAGATACCAAAGCAAACTCATATCTACATGGGGGGGGACTCAACAAAAAACAGATTCAGCCTTTTTAGAAAGCTTTTTATAAGGGACAAAACAAAGAAAGCTTTTATCCTCTCTTCTAGACAAAAAACCATTACCCAGAACCCTCTATTCTTCTAGTAGAGTCTGGCTATTAGAGTTGAATTTTGGTATTAATAGGAAAAGGCTTATTAATTTTTCCTATTCTTAAGTGTTTACTACCTTGGATCCTTTCTTCCCCTTGGGAAATCCCATGAATTCCAGCTCCCCAGTAGATGGTGGAGGTCCTGCTGGACCAGGGAGGCCAACATCCCCCTGTAAGATCAAAGAGAATATTAAGCAAAACATAAACCACACAGACTATTTTTCAGAGGATGGTTTTGTCCTCTGGATGTAATTCAAAAACAAACTCTCTGTTACTTTGGCCTCTTCATCCTTGAATCAATGAGGAAACAGAACTCTCTTGACAAATGGTGAGAAGATTTATAAGCCTGACCAAATGCATTTTATACCAGCATTGCAGAGGGAAGAAGCAAGAAAGATGAAAGGAAACTTCAGGTTCATTGTTGTTATGGTCATGCATGAAAGGGCAGTGAAAAAGAAATTTGAATGAGCAAGGTGAATGGTTACCTCTAGGCAACAATGATCAAACCCTAAATGCCCAATCCTTGCCAAGAGAACAAGCAGAGGCAGTGAAGTCTGTGTTGGAACATTGGAGACAAGAGTTGCTCCTTCAGAAGGCAGTGGACTCCCTAAGAGACAGCCAGGAAGGGCTGGGAGTGTAAGCTCTCAGCCTTACTTGAGGCTCCCGAATTACCATGCAGTTTGTACAGAGGGAAGGAAATAAGGGAGGGAGAGAACTAAAGTGGTGAAAGAGAGGTTAAGGGGGAGAGAGAGAGAGAGAGAGAGAGAGAGAGATAGATAGAGAGAGAGAGAGAGATGGGGGAGAGAGAGAGAGAGAGAGAGAGAGAGAGAGAGAGAGAGAGAGAAGAAGAAGAAAGAGAAGGAGAGGAGGAAGTGAAGGAGGAAGAAGGATGGAAGGAAGTGGGGCAGCCGAGGAAAGGAAAAAGAATGTGACAGAATACACAAACCACCAGAGAAACACTCAGATGGAAGGAAGAGAAGGAATATGTTTCAAGAGAGTATGTTTGTAAGACATACTTCACAGGTAGGAAGCAGGGAGATGACAATATTTTGAAGGAAAAAAGAATCACAACAGCCTATGTGTGGCATATGCACATGCAACCCTCAAGGGATCCCACCAGAGGATCTATGTGAGTTGGCAAATGCTTATTTCCCAAGGTGAAGAACCAAATCTCCTTACACAAACAGCCATGTGTATGTAACCAGAAATGTTTTTTTTGACATACAGAATGCAGATTGCATATTTTGAAATCTATTTACCTTGACTCCTTTTTCTCCTTGAAAACCTAACCCCATATTCCCCTAGGGATCAGGGGTGTAAGGAGGAAAAAAACAAAATCAATTACTAAACAAGCTCTGAGAACTTAGATTGGAATGTTATTTATTTATTTTACCAGAAAGTAGAGTTAACCAAGCCAATATCTCTTTGGGAAAATCAGAGTACTTAGTGGTTGGAAGCACAATGTCCCAAGACAAAGTATACTTACATCAGGACCAGGGAAACCAGGGGGTCCTGGAGGACCCTAGATTTAAATGAAGAAAAAAAAGAGAGAGAGAGAAAAGAGTTAGCTTTTTGTTTCCATTGAAAGGAACATGAGCATGTTGAGAGTTACTGGGGATAATCTCTCCTCCCCCACTTAGTGTAGCCTGGCTTTGGTATAGCAGATTTAAGCTGCCTCTTCCATGGTTCCTTTTTATCTCCTTTAAAATGTCTCAAATGTACCAATGCTAAGGCAGTGAACATTTTGTGTGTCATTCCTCCCAATAGGCCAGAAATTTTTAAATGATGGTTTTTGGTGAAACTAAGCCAAGGTAACAAGTGATGGGATTTCCTGCACTGGAGAGAGAATAAGACTTTCCCAGAACCACAGGGGTCTTCCTATACAAATGATGATAAATAGGTTTGGTATCAGGAAAATAGGTATTTAGGTAGAGCTTCCTAAGGTGCAGTGTTGAGAAGTATTTTAAAGCTTCCTCAGTCTTCAGAGTGGGTGATGGCGGTGGTGGTATGATTAATTAGCAATGTTTGTCATGGATGAGAAAATGGGAGGTAGCAATAGGTCTGCCATTACTGGGCTATACTCAGGTTGAGCTAGACTAGGAGGCTTTAGAGACACAGATTGGATGGTCAGAAAGACTTTGATAAATAAAGAAAACCAATAGCTCCTGGCAAGAGCATGCTTCACTTGAATCCTCTAAGAATGGAGATTGTCCTTCACTAGAAGGCCTAAATGACATAAGCTTACATTTAATCCATGGCATGGTAGGGAAAACAGTCATGTGAATGCTGTGATCACATTCTAGACTTAAGTTAGTCTTACTTGCAATCCTGGTGGTCCAATGGGTCCTGCAGCTCCAGGGGATCCAGGTGTTCCTTGTGGGCCCTAGAGAGTCAAGTTTTTACCAAATTCAAAAAGCAAGACCTTTGCCCAAGAAAAGTGAAAATATATATATGTCCACAAGACCAGTACAAGAATGTTCATAGCGAAGATTGGCAGTAGCGGGAAATTGCTGGGGTGGGGGATGCAGGATTGGCAGTAGTAGGACCCTGCTGGGGGTGGGGGTCACACCTCTTCAACAAGGGTACTTGCATAATGAACATTTGTATACCTAACCCTGAATTGTACCCCACACCTTTAAAATAAAAAAATTCAAAAAAAGAATGTTCATAGCAACTTTATTCATAATAGTCAATACATTGCCTCAGAGATCTATCATAGCAGTTTGCTAATAGTAGATGCTCAATATCTGTTGAGGACTGGGGAGAAAAAGGAAAGGAAGAAGTAAAGAAGGAACAAATATAGGAAAGCTACTTCAAAGGAAAGTGATGATAATGTGGAATTTCAAGGAAAAAGAAAGTTCTTATTAATACAACTCATGGTCTTACATGGACTCACTATTATCCATAGAGTCCCTAAAAGGAATTTCTGGTGGATTACCTTTTAAAGAAGTATGTTCTACTTCTTCTGTTTTACCCACAACATGGAACACAAAGAAAACACTTAGTAAATCCTTGCTGAATGAAAGGCAAAATACTTCCCTAATACATTCCAGGGAATTACATAGGTCCCTGGCCTGAAGTCTGAAGGCCTGCTTGCCACGCAACTTAAGGTGGACAGGTCATTCTTTCAGTACTTTCTCATTTGGAACATGTCACTAGTGTGACTCAGCTGGGTTCGGTGGCTCAGCCTGTAATCCCGCGCCTTGGGAGGCTGAGGTGAGTGGAATGCCGGAGCTCGCAGGTTCGAGACCCACCTGGGCAACTTGGTGAGACCTCATCTCTACAATAAATAAAAAAAAAAATTAGCCAGGCGCCTGTAGTTCCAGCTACTTGGAAGGCTAAGGCAGAAGGATCGCCGGAGTCCAGCAGGTCGAGGCTGTGGTGGCCGGGAGCAGCCACTGCACTCCAGTCTGGGTGACAGAGTGAGACTCCGACTCAAAAAAAAAAAAAAAAAAATAGTGTGACTCATTCTACTTCAGCTGACTAGATTTTCCTTGAGAAGGTCTACAAAGACCTTTGAACACCACAGAGACGAACAAAAAGACATCAGTGACTATTAGTCGATATTGAGAGCTCAACATATAAAAAACTTACAGTGATTCCATCCAGTCCAGGCAGCCCAGGATCCCCCTGTGAAATAGACAAAGACTGAAGAGTTTAATAAATTGAGCCTGTGGTATTTCCAATAACTAAGATTCATAAGGGATAAAAATGTATCCCTGAAGTTTGGGCCTCCTATGACAAGGTCTTGAGTTTTAAATAATGCACGAATTGGACATATTCAACTATTTACTTTTTCCTAAGAAAAATTTGGACCTACAAGACAAATATTATTGACTTTGCTGAACAGGATTTCATATTTTACTTGGATTAATTAATTTTGCTAGGAACTTATCAATTAGAAATTGCTTCTGCGGGCTGGTGATTTTCCTACTCTTTTCAGAAGAAAGCAAAGCTACCTTCCCATGTGCCTTCATCCCCAGAGATTCTGTGCCCATATGTATACAATGCAAATCAGACATTTCAAGGGAAAATCAACAGAGCATACAGTCTCTGATTACGTTTTAATTACTTTCCAGCATCTTAAGTCACTGTATGAATCTGCAATAAAACCATCTTGTGGCAATTGCTGTGTTCCGCTGGATCCAGGGTCTCTTTGATTTCTGGAAAAACCATTTAATGAATGTTTGCTAAGACAATAGCCATGGAAAAAAAAAGCACTGTCTGAATCTTAGCACTTTAGTGAGCTGGCTGTGTGGCTCTGAATAAGTCACTTAGCTTCAGTATACCTCAGTTTTTCCCATAAAATGGGTAATATGAATCTGATAGTCATGAGGTCCTTCAAACTTTAACATTCTATCTTCTACTATGGCACCTATAGTCAGGAGCTCAGACATTGGCTCTTCTCCAGTTCTCCAGCCACCCATCCCCATCACTGCCTTCCAAAGTGATTTCCAAAATCCCGGGCTCTGTGCACCGATGGAAGACAGAAAAGTACCATTAATTAGCTGCAAGAGCTTGGTGCATCTTTCCCTCAGACGATTGGCACGTAGGTTGCCATTTGCCATCAGGGCAATAATGGACTCCTTTTCCACTCTGTACAGGAGTAGGGTCAATCATTTGGAGCCAGGGTTTACTGAAGCCCCACAGGATATCAGTCCACAGATACCAAGAGTACAGTCAAAATAATACAGGAGGTTCTTGTCAATTCTGGGAAGAGATGAAAATTTCCAGCCAGCTGCAGAGCTGATGGGCATTTTTTGTAGACATCCAAGGACCCAGGTAGGGTGATGGGCTGGTACACAGGGACAGAAGGGTGGGGCCAGGATGCTGGGCAAATGGCCATGGCGAGATGGGCAGAGGCACACATGGCTTCAAATCAAGGTATACAGACATCAAAGATTCTAGAATAGACAAAAGGCATCTGCCTCCAGGAAATGGCTGGGCTTGTCAAAGAAAATGATACCCATGCAAACTGTTTGCTGATCTATCTCTTATTTTTGGTCTAGATCCTGCAAAGCAAATCTCTTCGACAGTGTATTTGCAAACATTTCTCTCAATGTTTCCACCACTAAAAGCTCTGGATCCTTTTAAATCCAGCTTGGTATGCTCCTTAAATACAGACACAGATGCTAGTTCTGGAAATGTTTTCATTGGCGGTGGGGCCCAATCCCGGGAACCCAGTTTATAGCCTACTCAGCTGTCTGCCTTACAGGCTCTTACCTTCATTCCTTTGAAACTACCTTGAACAAGGACTGGCTCTCCTTTAGAACCTTTCTGACCAGGAAGCCCCTGAGTAAAATTTAAAAAAAAAGTGAGGAAATATACACACAGTTTTGTTAATTGTACGATCTGATCAGACAGAGAATGGAAGATCAAGAGTCTGAACTATATGGCTTATTCTGTGGCAGAATTTGTGGTACTAAAGGACAAAGCACATCCTCTGAAAAAGTGCTGTGTCTCAAAGCTGTATGCCCATTCTCCCACTCCCCTAAGTCAGAGGTCTGTAAAGGGATGCAGATTAGAAAGTAGAAGACTTTACATCTACTCAGAGCACTGGTCTGAACAACACATAATTCATGTAGTGGAGGGTTCACTGTTCCACCCTCACAGGTATAAATCGCTGACAATCTTTGTCTAGGACAGAGATCACCAATATTTTTATGTAAAAAGCCAGATATTAAATAATTTAGGTTTTAAGGATCACATCTGGACCCGGTTCTATATTCTTTCTTCCTTCCTTCCTTCTTCTTCTTCCCTCCCCTCTCCTGCCTCCCTTTCCCCCTCCCCATTTCCTTCCCCCCTTTTTTCCTTCCCCCCTTTTTTCCTCCCCCTCTTTTTTCTTTCTTTCTTTCTACCTTTAAAATGTAAAAACAGGCCAAATTACATGTGGCCTAGTTTGTAGACCTCTGGTTTAGGAGATATCTAAAAAACCACCTTCATCCTGTGCTTCTACCATATGACTTCAGCTTCAACTCTTAAGAGGCTGATGTGTCTCAACATGAAAAACAGTTCAAAATACCCAATGCCAGTCTCTCAGCCAAACTTTTTTGCATTTTAGTGGCAGATGCTGGCTAATATCTGTTAGAGTTTGTCTTCCTGAGGAAAATCAATGTCCCTACATGTAAGGGGAGATCAGGATTAGTACTGAGGGTAGGACTAAGCTTTGGGGACTATAGCATTGACTGAATGATGGGTTCCTTCAGCACAGGGATCATTGGTATAATAAAACAACAATGTGAATCCAGAAATAAAAACTAGTTTCTTTCTACTTTCCCCTTTTCCCCTTATTCTTGTGGCCTGTTTTGTTTCTTTTTCTTTTTCTTTTTTTTTTTGAGTTGGAGTCTCACTCTGTTGCCCAGACTGGAGTGCAGTGGCTGCTCCCAGCCACCACAGCCTCAACCTGCTGGGCTCTGGCGATCCTTCCGCCTCAGCCTTCCGAGTAGCCAGAATTACAGGCGCGCGCTACCACGCCCGGCTAATGTTTTGATTTATTGCAGAGATGAGGTCTTGCCTGCCCAGGCAGGTCTCGAACCCGTGGGCTCAGGCAACCCACTCACCTCAGCCTCCCAAAGGCATGGGATTACAGGCTGAGCCACCGAGCCCGGCTTCTTCTTATTCTTGTGACCACTACTCTCTTCAAAGAAGTTTCACAGAAGCCAACTGAATGGAGATCGGCTTGGTATTCAGCAGGAGCTAAGTAAAATATACATGCCCGAATTTCTAGTTAGGCTTAAGGTGAAGTTTAGGGATGGGATTAGGTATCCACCCTTGTTCTTTGTCAGGGGATGTTTATTACCTCAAGATTTCTTTTCTCCCTCTTGGGGGCAGTATTTCCTTGCTTGTTGGATTTTCATTCTCAGCATCTGTTTTGTTCGTTCCCCTGTTGCCATGGCGATGTTTAAATGTCTTTGTGACTCACACAGCTCATTCTATGTTAAGATACATCTCTCCTGCCCGCCTCTTGCATCCCCACTCACCCCTTGCACATTGGTTTGGTCCTTAGATGTTAAGGTGCTTTGTGCTGATCTGGGTCTTGCACTTGTCTATCTGTCTCACCTTATCAAACATATATCTACACCTGTTTCCTGAAGGTGGTAGTGCCATTCCTCCAGTGAAGTGTCAATTAACTTACATAGCTATGAAATCTGTCTAATGAATCATGTGATTTCCAGTTAAATATTTCACATCAGTTCCCTCACTAGTTTAAATCATTTCAAGTGAGGCAGAGAATGGGTTTGAAGTGTGTTATTTTTCTCTTTCCAGCCACGTGTAAAATCAGCCTTACAAGGGCATGATATTCACTAAAGATCTTTTAGATCCAAATATCTGAGTTCTATTAGATGAATGGAATTAAATAAAAGTGGTGACACTGGAATCCAATAAATACCTAATCAATTCCATAACCAAAGGTTATAATGTGGGTCGGGGACAAATTCTGTCAGTATAGAGTAGGGTTTCTCAACCACAGTGTTACTGACACTTTGGGCCAAATAATTCCTTGTTGTGTATGTGTGCATGTAGAGGGGAGGGCTGTCCTGTGCCAGTAGCACACTCCCAGGTGTGACACCAAAAACATCAGAGATAATTGCCAAATGTCCCCTGAGGGGCAAAATCACCCTTGGTTAAGAAACACTGGTTTAAACCAAGCATGCCAAGTCCACTGGGTACTTATTAGTGCTTCCATGAGCCCATGTAAGCATTCCAATCATTTCCCAATATCACCTGATATGGGAACATGTCAAATAGCCCAAGTGTGTGTTTTGCTCTGAAATTTTACTACAACCTTTTAACAATCTTGCCAACTCCACAAGCAGCAGTTTTAAAAAAAGCAACCCTAAGTACTGTAGCATGTGTACACCCCCCTGCAACTGGTACTCCTTAGGTTTTTACTATTGTGGTACTGCCAGCAAAGACTCCTGTATTGGACAAGGGGTTGCAGTGGCTGCCCCACAGAAGTCTAATGGGGTTTTCAGAGAAGGAAAAAAAGGCACACTTGAAGTCAGACAAAGTCATTTTAAATAAAGTGTAAAGATCTGGTGGCATACCGGTGGTCCAAGAAGCCCAGGATAGCCATCAGGGCCTGGAAATCCAACAGCTCCTTGAGTTCCATTACAGCCATCCAGACCAGGTGGGCCTCTGGGGCCTGGCGGTCCAGGGTGGCCCTGTTCAAGAGAAAAGAAGGAATCAAGTCAGCCAAAGGACTGCCAACTACTCCGAATGGCTCTAGAATGAGAAAAGCTAAGTATGCTGCAAAACTCTGGCCCCCTTGTCCACTCCCTTAGCTCCACATATGTTCTCATGTCTTCCCTTTACTCTCAAGCATATGTGTCTATTCACAGCTCAGTATTACCCTCCCAAAAGAATCAATGCTTTAATAAGGCTCAAGCTGAAACCAAAGGGATCAAATGAGCAGATGGGAAACACAGTGTGCTACAACTTCACCTTCTCTGGATATAAAGATGTCCTAAAATGGGGCTTAGCTGTTTGGCAGATGAACTGTGACCAATACAGAATTATGTCAGTCTTGGGATTCCTCAGACCAGACAGAACCTGGGCAGCCTGGCACAACTTTCTGTATTGGAAGCTGTGCATGGAAATTTATGCTGGATTTTGGCTAACAGAGCAGAAACAGTTCCCACAGCACCTCCTCTTCTGAAAGTTACTTGGTCAAAAATAAGCAAGTCCTGCAAGAGCTACACTTTCAGTCTCAATTTGTGATGCTCACATATCAGAGTATTGCTTCAGTTAGGGAACTATATCTTCTCTTCTCCATACTAACTTCTGAGGTAGTTATTTTGCTGGGGAATTAGTAATCATTCTCATACAGTTCATCTGCATTCATTAATTTTTCCAGAGTTGGGTATCCTTGCATTCACTAATTTTTCCAAGTTGGGACATAGAATCTACCCTTTTATAGTGAATATGTCTCTTTTAATCTATCAAAAGCCAGTTGTATGTTGGGCATGAAGCAAAGAGATGACCTGAAGGACCAGAAATCTGGACGGGTCAATAAAAAGTGGACCCTCCCACCATCACCAACACACTTTAAAAAGCCATGTGTATATATTTAATGACTTCAGGAAAATACACCATCTGTTAAAAAATGAGCTTTTCAGATTATTAGAGGAAACAACCTTTTGTCAAATTATTATAGGGAAAACGCTTGTAGAATTCTGTTTCATTTTCATTGTTATGCTAGTTGTAAGAGCTAGACAGACTGTTAGTACAAGAGTGAGTCTAGACTACTGGACTCATGGAATGCTAAGTCTAGAGGAGTAGTCAGTAAACTTGTCTTTGCAATAAACTTGCTGCAATCTGTGCCTCTACAGACTCAGGCGATGACTTTTACTTGCCCCGGGGGAAACTGTGGATGCACACTAGTTAGCAAATTTTTATTATCAATTGGGATGGTTACTGTTGTTTTTGTCTGAGGATCTACACTCTACCTTCCCCAGATCTGTGCCTTGGGGGCCTGACCTCTATGAATCATACCACCTAGGCTCCCTTTTCCTCTGTTTCTCAGTTGTATTTGGCCGCCGGGAGACACAGGCTGGAGACATCAGAGCAGGAGGAGAAAGAGCACAGGTTATTTCTCCCATGTCCTTTCTCCATGTCTACATTTTGGGCAATGGCTACATTTATCCAGAGTTAGCTCTTGCTGGGCAACAGCTATTTCATGGCTCCAGATCTCACTGGGTTTCAGTATTACCATTCCATCTTTTCTCCTTCGGGTCTAGGAGTGGTAACAGCTTTAGTTGCTTCATCATTCATTTTTGTTTCCCTAATGCTGCCCACATCTTTTATTTATTTATTTTGTGTGTGTGTGTGTGTGTGTGTGTGTGTGTGTGTGTGTGTGTGTGTGTTTTGAGTTGGTGTCTCACTCTGCCACCCAGACTGAGTGCAGTGACATGCTCCCGGCCACCACAGCCTTGACCTGCTGGGCTCCGGCAATCCTTCTGCCTCAGCCTTCCAAGTAGCCGCAACTACAGGTGCGCGCTACCAGCCCGGCTAATTTTTTGTTTATTGTAGAGATGAGGTCTTGCCAAGTTGCCTGAACTGGTGTTGAACCCATGGGCTCAAGCAATCCACTCGCCTCGGCCTCTCAAAGTGCTGAGATTACAGGCTGAGCCACTGAGTCGGGCCCACATCCTCTAAATATACCCTTCATTCAACTCTATTCAGGCAAACCCTTTGGGTATAGTGTCTGTTTCCTGCTGAGATCCTCATCACCACTGTAAAATATCTCAGCCAAACTTGTTAGGGTTTATCTCTAAGCTGGGTAACAGGGATAAGTTGAGGCAAAACAACAGGCTGGCTTAGTACCAAGATCTTCCTTATTCCTGGGACCTAGGCTGTGTTTGATATCAAAACTGTGTCTGGATTCTTACCCTTTGGTATACACAATTTTTTACTTGAGCTGGATCTGTCTTTAGTTTTCTTGCTTGAACTCCTAATATCTCCTACCTATAGGAATCCAGAGATGCCTGCTTATTCTTTCCTATCTTAGCTGAATTCTCTGGAATTAATCTCTGACCTCCTCAGACTTGTACATCCTTTCCAACTAGCTGACACTATAGGATGGTAGATAAAGTATGTTTGGAGACAGATAGATGTTTTGCTCCAATCTTAACTGTGTTACTCCTCAGCTTCAGCCTCAGTTCACTCATCTGTAAAACGGAGATGAATAATACCTACCTTACAGGGTTGTTGTCAACATTAAAAATGAATAATGCCTACTCTATCAGGTTATGGTTAGAATTAAATGAGACTAGGTTTACTAAGTAGGAGCTCAATAACTAGTAAGTCTTCCCCCAGTCAAGTTAGTAAAGATAAGCTGCAGGGCCAGGGTCTACTTCCTCTCAATTCTCATTACCAGCTGGGCTCAGTGGCTCAGCCTGTAATCCCATGCTTTGGGAGGCTGAGGTGAGTGGATTGCCTGAGCCTGCGGGTTTGAGACCCGCCTGGGCAACTTGGCGAGACCTCATCTCTACATAAATCAAAAATTAGATGGGTGTGGTAGCGCGCGCCTGTAGTTCCAGCTACCTGGAAGGCTGAGGTGGAAGGATTGCCGGAGCCCAGCAGGTTGAGGCTGTGGTGGCCGGGAGCGGCCACTGCACCCCAGTCTGGGCGATAGAGTGAGACTCCAAGTCAAAAAAAAAAAAAAATTCTCATTACCACTGAGTTTTTGGCATATTTCCCTTTCTGGTTATAGCTAATGATTTTACATATGTGTGCCAGCTTTCCAAGAGAGTATAGCTCTTTGAGGGAGGAAATCATGGTTGTATATAGCCTTAAGAAACTGAACACACAGAATAGGAGAATCTGTTGTATTCCAGAAAACGTTGCTTATAACTCAGTTTCAAAAGAAAAATTTACTTGGTGAGTAAAGTGTGTTCACTTTGAGGATATAAATCTAGTGTGCTCATTTACAAGTCTCCAGGAAGGGAACTAGAGATTTAAGATTGACTCCATGGGAAAAGTTAAACATAAACTGCAAAGTGAAAACCTTTGCTCTCAACTTGTTATTTGAACTAAAAACATTTGATAAACATACATTTCTTGTAGGTGGCAATAGCTCCAACTCACGGCTGGGATATTATGAAAAGCTACAGCCCTACCATCCCTATCTACTTTGTTCTGATGTTGAAGATCTCAATGAATGCTTGTTTGCTCACTTTCTCAATTGGTTGCTGTGCCCCTTAATGCAAAGACTTGGATTATCATGAAATGACTACTTGCCAGCTCATGTTGAAACTGTCCACATGACAGCAAAAATGGAGTTTTGGGACCAAAACCAGGGACACATATGTTAGCAATCAGCCAATATTAAGAGGGGAACCAGATCTGTGCAGTGATCCAGTTTAGTAAGAAGTGTTGGGAAAGCTGCTGGTTTCAGCCAAATTACTTAATATGTATTACTAAAAGTTGAACAAAATAATTAGTCTGACTGGGCTTATGGTATCTGTGTTTTTCTCTGTCTGAGGGAGTCCTGCCAATCTGAGAACTGTTGCTTTTATAGGCACTAGAGGTTGGAGTCAGTACTCCAAATATTTTTAGAGTTCCTACTATATGCTGAGCTCAGCTTTGGGCTTTTGGGCCTCTGAGAAGAGCAGAAGACATAATCTGTACTTTCAAGGAGCTGGGTGAATCTATCATACAGGGCAATCAATAAATCCCATGGGGCTGTAAGTAATGAGGAGCTGGAATATGCGGGAAGGCATTAAGGACTTTGGGAAATTAGAGATGGAAGGAAGAAATCAGCACTGAGCAGAAGATGCTCAATAAATACTTCTTGAGTAGCTGGAAGAGAGAGGAAGAACAAGGGAGAAGAATTTCATGGCGTAATAAAGCTTTGAGTCTGAAACTAGAGCAGTCAGAAGTCAAAAGAAAATACATACAACCTTTGGTCAAGTAAAGATCCAAGGGAGTAAGGACTTCTACTAGGAGCAGCAAGCTCATTTGGAGGGTTCTGGATAGCTGTAACTCATTCTTCCAAGAGATGACACCCTAAAAAGAAGTGATCAATTTCTGCAAGCTCTAGAGATCTCTTGGCCACAAGTTGGAGGCAGAAGTGTCCAGCTGGACTCTGGGATAGACTCCAAATCAGAATTGGAAACAGTCTCAGTCTCACAGGACTCACTTCCTTTTAGATCCCATTGCAGAAGGAAGGGCATACTAACCCTGCAAACGCGAAATCCTTCACTCAGCTCTGGAGAGCCTGGTCCACAGGATGAATGGAAGAGGTTACCTCCAGTTTGCTAGTTTCCCTCACTCACTGGCTCCCAGAAGATACACATTCTGAGTGGACACTATGACTGAAGCTGCTATAGGAACACAATCATAATTGCCAAGAAACAAGATTAAAAAATGGCCAATTCCACCTACTTACTTTCCCACTGGCCTATTTCTGGGCATTTTGCAGACTCTGCCATTGAATAAAATGCAGAAATCTTCTTAGTGTGAGGGCTGACTTGTTGATACATGTAACAGATACTAGGTGAGTGAGCCTTCTAGTCTCCAAATTCACAAGTATAATCTTGAGGGCATAGCCATATTCTTCCTCTATATTCCCATAGAAGAGTGCTAGCACATAGCAGGTGCTCAAGAAATACCTATAGATTGGCACAAAGAGATTCAAATCCCCTTCCTTGATAGTAGATAATGATGGAGTACAACACAAAAGCTATTAAGTCTAACTTCCCAAACTGTGCCTTGACAGGGTTAAGAAGAATCTCTTAGAGGTTGTTGGAAGGATAAAAGCAGGTTCTAAGACCTTCTCCAAACGGAGGAGCTGTACTTTTTTGTTCTATATGCTGAGCTTCCACACAAGATTTTTTTACTCTTAAACAAGGTTGAAAAAACACTGCTGTAGACAAACACAGCCTAGGCTAAGGATTAAAAAATAGAAAGGTGACAAAGGAGAAAACTATAAAGCGATAGCCAGTAAGTTCCAATATTTTATTTTAAAGGCTGGTAGTAAAATGATACCATGGTGGGAGAAGTTTGGGTATAGGACAAAAATGGAGAGACTAAGGGATTGGGTAGGATGGAATGGGGAAAAGAGTTATCTTCAAGCTCTAAATTCCCCACTTGTCTCTGGCAAAACAGAGGTCTACAGAATGAATTTGGAAGAGGTTACTTCCAAGTGATCTTTGGAGTAGTTGGTTTGTAAAAACGAAAGGAAAATTCACTCTAAAATGAGGTAAGGCTGAAGAGAAAAATTACTGAAACGAAATGTATCAAGATATCCCTAAGGATTTTTCTATCAAAATTCATTTAATGTACCTTCCTAAAGTTCCTATAATGAGCTTGTATATGCTCTAATGTGGCTCTGTGTTTATACCTAGAACCAGTTCCTCATTTCCAGTCAAAGCTTCCCTCAACCCACAAGACTTAACTCATTTTGGCTAGGATATCAATGGCTATGGCTGCACATGAGCCTCCACCCCCAGCCATCTGACACAAGGCTGTTTGTGCCTGAATCAAAGAGTAACTGTCTGTGACCACTGCCATTCAAACCTTACCATATATATTTCTTCTTCTTTTTGTGTATGTGTGTTGTAGTCTCACTCTGTCACCCAGGCTGGAGTGCAGTGGCATGCTCACAGCCACCCCAGCCTCAACCTGCTGGGCTCCAGTGATCCTGCCTTAGCCTTCCAAGTAGCTGGAACAACAGGTGCATGCTACCATGCCCGGCTCAACCATACATATTTCAACACATGACCCTAAGCATGCTTGCATGAGGCAGGATGTTCTAATGCCAAAGTACCTGAGCTATGAGGCAGAACGCAGAGATGGATATTGAGAATACCTATGTGGACATACTCACCGGAATCCCATTGATGCCAAGAAAGCCAGGAACTCCCATGGGACCCTAAAAAATGGAGTAGGGAGAGGAATGTAAGATATAATCCAATTGATCTTTTATACTTGGTAAGTTTGTTTAGGTGAGTCAATGGACTAAGTTAAAAAGTGTTTTCTACCTCTCTTCACATTGCTTTGTCTTGATTCCCTACTCCAGCTCCAACTGATCACTTGCTTCTACCTAAGGTTTTGGAAATGTCTGTAATCTTGTCTTGGGGAATATAATTTAAGCCTTGAAATTAAGGCACAATATTACCTGCTGCCTTGACATCTGGGGAAAACTGGAGGGCCTTGAATTACCTAACCACAAGTTCCTCTCCCCATTATGCCTCTTGCTTCTTCAGATAAGGTCTCTTAGCCAAACAACCCTCCTTATCAAATGGACTAGGTACAGTTCCTACTTATCCCTGTATAGCAGTTCAGTTCCTTGCTGGCCTACTGAATTATTCAAACAAGCCAATCACATTCTCCTTCAGGAACTAGGAACATCTCATATTCTAGATACTAAAAAGTCTGTCTGCCTCTCACATCCACTTCTAGTTCACTGTGCTCCTGAGTGTTATCCCTGTGTGGTTCTATGTGATGTGCAGTATCTTCTTCCCCTGAACTGTGATTATATGTGACTAATAAACTGCTGTCAGTCTCATCTGTCCAGCACCAGGTGTCGTGTCTTTGGTTATCCCCATAATCCTAGTGTGGGAATCCCTAGTGTGGGTGAATAGGAGGTGATTAAAATAAACAGAGAACATAAACTGAGGTGCAAAACTCAGTCAGTCAGTCACCATGACATTATCACTCTCCATTCTTGCAGCTTTCCCCCTGTATTTGTGGTCCAGATTGCTTCCAAGCACTCTGACCCTTTGCTTTTCAGTCTCCTTGCTTGGCTTCTTGATTTCCACTGCCCAACTGGTTGGACTTCTGATCCATGCCCAATTCAAACCCACATGACTTCTTACCACAGTGAGTCCATTTGTCTAGCAAGTAGCTAGAACATTCACTTTACAGTTAGTTTGTCATGAGAGTCTCTCCAGAAATAGACTGATCCATTGGCAGACCATCACCTATCCCATCTCTTGTTAAAGTGTGCAGCCTGGTAACCAAGTATTTAGCTGTGGTATCATTTCCATAAATAAGCAGAACTGAGATAGAGAACTTCTGACATTCATAACTGAGGCCCATCCATCAAAAAAAAAAATCAAGCTCTGGTGCTCTTACCTTATCTCCTTTTGATCCATAAGGTCCCAGAGGGCCTGGTAAGCCCCTTTCTCCTTTCAACCCTGATAAACCAGTAAGGCCAGAGAATCCTTGAGGGCCTGTTGGACCTTGAATTCCAATTGGTCCAGGTCGCCCCTAAGATGGATAGGAGTGCAATTAGTCAATAGAGGACTTAACATCAATACTTCCCATTTTCCCATGAACAAAGAACACTGTCATCACTTCACTAAATAATTTTGGCTTAGAGATCTGTGAGGCACGCCAAAGTTCCAGACATGGATCAGAAAAGGCTATTTTAGGGGCTGCTAAGCTTATTTGGATAGAACACATTTTATAAGCACATTTAATAAGATTCATGTGCACCAAGATCCTTCAACTCTGTACTTCTTAGGAGATTAGTTATTCAGGCTGGATAATATTGTCCTCTTCCTAGTTAATGCCAGGCCATCTATCAGATTGTCAAAATAGTGAAAGAACAGAATGTTGGAGAGCATCGTGACATTTTATAACTCACATCCAAATAACCAACTACATGCTTGTAAGTGAAGTCCAGAAATGGCTGTGCCTGAAGAACAGTGCTCCAGGGGGCTAAAGAAGGGAGAACCCCCAAACCCATGAGCTGACCAGCCTCCCCGTCTGAGCTTATCTTTGTTGGCAGATCCCAAGTCCTCATCACTACAACCTGGTAGCAAACACAGGAAACACACACACACACACACACACACACGTGAGTACACACAGGCATGCTCACGCTTACAGACACAAGTTGTTTATTTGTTTTTCCCCCATCCCTTTTTCTTCTGTGCTCCAATCTGTAAAATGTTGAATGTGTAAAATACAAGGAGCTTGAGAATATCCATTAAGTATCAATTAAGATATCAAGAGGGAGCAGCCTGAAGATTTTGAATGCCCTGGTTATAAAATGTCTGTAACAATTAAGTCTGAGAGTTCAGGCTGACATTTTAAAGCAGACTGAAACTGAGAGTTAACCTCAGTGGGTGCAACACAGGCAGGCTGGTCTATCATTTAGAACAAATCCCAGTAGGGACTAAATTTTCTTGGCAGAAAAAATGAAAACCATTAGTAATGTGCATTACCTCTCAGAGAATACAACACCATATCAGGTAGAAAGCCTATTTTCATAAATGCTTCCCATCTCCACCTCTCAGGCCCTTTACTATCTGCAATTTCCTACAAATCTGTGGAAAACTCCAAGAAAAGCACATTAAATATGCCCTTTACTGTTCACCTTCAAGGTTTACTTTTTAAAAGGCTGAAAACAGGACTGATGCTTTATGCAGTGGCTAGAGTCATATACTGAAGATGCAAGTAGCCACTAGTTGGGCTAGTCCTTTGGAGTAAAATTTCCAGTGTCAATCAGGCCCACGAAGACCTAGGACTCTTGCAAAGCAGTACAAGATGCTCTGCTCGAGGAGATGCCATTTTCTGGCTACCACCTACCACTCAACCTTTCCTAACACCCAACATGCAGCCTACAAAGAATGATAGGTTGTGAAGTGTTTAGCAGGCTTCCTTCCAAAAACTTGATGAGGGTGAGGTAAGCTTTCACTTTTTAGGTTCCTACCTCCTATTATTGGAATTTTGTTTACAGTGATTCTGTTATTTGCTATTCTTAAATTTTTCACAAAACCAATATACATGTATATTTATATTTATATACACATATATAAAGGGACTAAAAGGAGCAATACTTTAAAAAATAGTGCCAGGGTGCTGATGAGAATGAGTGAGGAAGTTGAAAATGAGGGCCTAGGCTTTAGGATGAATGTACACAAAACCGTAGCAAACAGTGCACGTTTGGAACACAGCCTAAGTGCTGTGGGAAAACAAAGGTTGGCCATGGAGAGTTTGTGAAATGCTCACATTTTGCCCATGGCCTGGGAGGAGTCTTGGGCCACATTGGCAAGGCTGAGTGGGTGCCAACTGAAGCCGGTTTGGAAAGCACAGCAGGAAACTTGGAGATGATGTGGTAGGACACAGGGAACCCTCGGAGGCTTGGGAACAGGGAGGGCTAGGAGAGTGGTGCTTCAGGCTGAAAGTCATCAAGGAGCATTGAGGAGAACATGTGTGTATCAGCATGAGGCCAGAGCAGGCTGCCTGAGGCTGGAACAAGGGAGGCAGATAAGAACCAGCTGTTAGGGAGGAGGGGCCTGCTTGTTGGGAGGATAAGGGGCAGGATGGACTTGCAGAAGCCATATTATTACTAGCAGAGAAGATCCAATCAGAGCACTGAATGCTTGACCCAAATCCGAATCCTGGCAAAAGTTTTCCCATGTCAAGGGAGGGGAGCGGGAGAGCACAATAAACCAGTGAACACTACTGAGAGAGTGGGTTGTGATGTAGCTCAATCCCATCCTGCTCATACCACTAGAGAAAGGAGTCTGAGCAGCCACCAGCATGTGCTGGCATCCTCCTCCTTGGGTTTCTTGCCTTTTCAAGCACATACTCACCAGTAACGGTAAGCAAGGAGACTTAGAAGGGAGGCAATTCGAGAGCTGCACTTAACAGAAACTTTGATTCTGTCCAGAAAAGGCAGGATTCCATGTCCTGCATCCTTTTTTTTTGGCTGGGTGGACATGTTGAATTTGCTGACTCCTCTGTTACAGGCAAAGAGCTGAAAGCGAGTTTCTTAAAGAACTTACAGAATCTTTTTTTTCTTTTTCTTTAAAAACAAAACAAAACAAAACATTCCAACGCTCTTTCCAAAGGGGCATTTGAAAAGGCACCCCTTGGAGGAATTTGTAACTCTGGGCTGGTCTCAGGTGCCTAGGTTGGAGAGCATGTCATCAGTCCAGCTTGAAACATCTCAGATTGACTTAAGGGCCAGAAGTGGGGCCTGTGGGAAGTCTCCAGGCTTCTGAGGCACTGCTGACCCAGAAATGCCTCCTCAGCATGGTGCCAGAGCCCTTCTGGAGCCTGCAGTCACAGGATTTGAGACAAGGAGTCTTCCCATTCACAAAGGTCCTTTCATACAGTGGCACAGAGCGCCAGGAACAAATTAAGGTGGCCAAAAATAAAAATAAAAATAAAATAAGGGAGAGACATTCCTTTTGTGGGTTTTTTGTCATCTAGATACGCTTACTCTGTGCTTATAGCTGTGTGAACTTTTTTTATTTGTCTCCATCGCACAGGATTTCTGTTCCAGTACCCAATACACGGCTAAAGCTTAGTACTAAATCAATGATGAACTGCCTTTTTTACCCCCTCCAGACACTATCGGCGACACTTTTCATTATGGCCAGCAGAGGTCAGTGTGAGAACACAGAGCCTACAGATAAGCAGGTGGGTGGGTGGGCCTCTTTCAGTACAGAGAAAAAGAAATCAAACCAGAGCCAAAGAAGTCACAGAATGTTCGAGCAGGAAGGGCCTTTAGAGACCATTCAATCCAGGTTTTATTTTATACTTGGGGGGGGCAGGCCAAGAGAAAAGGACTTGTTTAGGTCACATAGCTAGTAGAACGGTATGGAACTCAAACCAGACTGCCTGCAGCCAGTGCATGGCTTTTTCCCTGTTTGTCAGTGGCAGATGTCCTGGGGTGGGGGGGTCCTTGAGGCTGTACCCCAACACCCGAGCTCACCCCTGGGACTGCCCCCATCAGTAGGCTGCAGCAGCCAGATGCTCACACATCATTTCTCTCTTCAAACCCTGATCATTTCACAGAACCAATCTGAAACACCAGTGCTGTTTGGGCTGCTAGCAGAATTTCAATGGGCTTGGACCAATGCCCTGCCCTGATACATGTCATTTATTTTGGCAAATAGACCCAGACAGGGCAGAAGGAACTCCTCCAAGTCTTTCCAACAAGCTCTCCTGCTTCCATCTGCTCAGGATTTTAAGTATGCACATCAGGGTAGAATTCTCAAGGGAATGAGTCGGGACTTGTGCCTAAGGCCAGGAACTGCAGGCTCCCAACTGCAGTCCAGGCTGGCTGCCTCTTGCTGACCACAGTGGGTTGGGGTCAGTGTGCAGCTTAAGGTCACCTTTGAGCAGACCCAGATAACTGGGGTAACAGATCCAGAAATGGGGCTGTCTATAAAGTAGTAGACATATGTAGAAATAGCATCTAAGAATCTTAAAACACATGCTTTATACTAGGCAGGACTGTGAAACTGATGGAGGGGGCTGACTTTTCATAACTCAGCCACTTTCTGCCCTTTTATCCCTCTCTTAAGTTTCCAGTGTTCTTCCCCCATAAAATTACAAATTGTTCCTAAGGAAGAATCTGAAACTCATTCCCACTGAGGCATAAATGACTGACAACAACTTAGAGTTTTACTTTTCCCAGGGGATTTGTAGAGCAAAGCATTCAGCTAGGGGTAAGGTAAGGGAGAAGTGTATTGTATGCACAGGCCTTCTTAAGGATCCACTGTTTTCCAGGATGTAGCATAGTGTTGTTAGGTAGACCTGGAGTCAAATCTCCTTACTGCTGTTAAATAGCTATGTGATCTCAGGCAAGTGATTTAACCAGTCTCAAGGGCTCGGGTGTAATAGTAGCTCTTTTGTAAAATTATTGTGAGTGCATCAAACAGAGAGTATTTTGAGGGTTACTGAAGTTAAATTATTGTGAGCACTTAAGTGAGTTAATTAATGTAAAACACTTGGCAGATGAAATGAAAGTATCAGCATCCTTTCTTCTACAGGTATCATTTATGGTACAATGGAGAAGTTAGGATTGGGTATTCAATGCTCCTTCCCTTAAGTTTCAGTGGGAGATGCACAGATATTATTGAACAACTCCCTTTGCAGCAGAGATGTGTGCCTGGAAATGAATGAGCATGTATGCTGGACACCTTACTTAGCACTGGTGCCCTGGTTCTCCTGGACACTTGACTCCTCAGTGTCTTCTCATTTTCCTAATGGGACACCATCTACATAGTAATGAATCTCAGATATGAACTTCCAGCCCAGGTGTCTCTTCTGAGTGTGCCGGATTCTTATAGCCAATGACTTATCAGAGACTTCTTCACCTAGATATTCCAACTCAAACTCAACAAGACCAAAACTGAACTCATCATTTTTTCAACCTCAGTGTACAAACCAGTTCTTTTCTCCTGAGGTAACGGAATTAACTCAGTACATGGCAAACAAAGTTGATTAAGCCAGAAACCTAGGGG